TTTCCTCAGCATTTTTGTGTCAGCCTGTCTCCTTAAGTACACCTATGCAATATATAGGAAAGAAGGAATTTTTCCTGACTTGAATTCACAGCTGTTTTGCGGTAAATTCTGCAGCTGTGACCAGAAACTGGATGACCTTGTTAGTAGGACAGCCACAAAGTAGCCACAAAGTTTGGTTTTGATTATAACGTCTGTTTTTCTTCTTCTTGAAGTCTGTTCCTTAAAATTTGATGTGCTCATGTAATTGCAATGTAGTTCACTGCCCTGCTTTACCTCCAGTAAAGGGAGTTTGAGACTTTGCAGAGGAGGAGAAGAGAAAAAGAGAGACAGACAGACTGACAGACAGACACAGAAGCCCACAGTATGGAAAAATAAATGATATCACTGATGGGCTTTTCTGTCAGTGTATATGAGTTATTGAATGCTTAAGCAGAAGTATTACATGTTTTTTCTAACCCTTATCCCCCATAAAACTCAACAACTAAAAAGGTAACCTGCATGCAGTTTATTAGTGGTCTTAGATGCATTCATCTTTTTTTTTTCCTTTTGTGCTTTGTTTGAAAGAAAAAGTCTGTAACAGAAATACAAATCAGATTCCCTCCAGTGGTGTAGATTTTCATTTCTCCATAGGTAGATGGAAGAAAAAGATTCATAATTCACTTACACTTCTGTGAATCCAAGACTTTTTGGAAGTGACTGGTGTTTGGAAAATGTGAGTGATTGGGGCAGGCATCTTGCATTCTTCTGGCATCCGGATTTGGAAGTGTTGAGCACCCCTTGTCTGAAATGCAGCCCCTTTAAGGTATCTTAAAAAAAACTTGATGCAAATTGAGGCCTCTGAAACCACTCATCACTTTTGAAAAACCTGGTTGTTGGTTTTAGTGGTTCTGGACTCTCAAGATGATTACTTTCAGGTCTTGTTAACCACCTCTGGGCATAAAGCTTAGTTACTGAGCGACATTGGTGCTGTCTTGGTGCACATTTCTAAGCAGACATAGCTGTATCGGCTGC